TGGTCTGCAGAGTTGAATGTGTAGATATTGTGTGCTTTAAGGTGGGTGCTTCCTTGGGTGCTTCATGCGATGTCAACATTAATTGAGTTGTTTTTTGTTTGTTGATTGTCAACTTTTTGACAAGTGACTGTATTGTTTTCTTAATTTAATTTTTTGTATTTTAATTTTTATTCTGCATTTTTGTTAGTTTTGTTTTTTTTCTATTTTCTTTGTTGTTCATTTTGTATCTGTTATGTCGTAGTTGTCTGTATATTTTTCGTTTGGTTCTTTTTTATGTATTGGAAATTTGATTTTTTAAAATTTTTTCTTGTTTTTTTGTGTTTTAATTGCTGCATTTGCGCAATGTTCGATCATCCTATGAACTTCTAATTGTAGGATGATAAGTTTTAGTAAACGTCTTAATGCTACGTCGACGGTGGGTTGCGGAAGTTTTATTTATTCTACATAGTTAAGAAGAATACTGTTGCAGTGGCAGTGCGAAGTTCCGAATCCGTTTTCATTGTCTGATGCGCGTGTGTGGCTCAGGCGTTATTTCATTGCAAATCTTGCTGATACGTCCAAAGTAGACGAGTTTTTGTCATTTCTGCAGTCAAACAACTATCTGAAGGTTTATTGTCACGATAAACGAAGCGTACCATTATTTTAGTAAGACCAGAAGTAATTTCCAAATGTCTGTTTTTCAGTTTCAATTGTGATTCTCTTACGTCGCTGTTTTCTGAACAGTCGTTTGGTATGGTCATTTCATGATTTCTTTCTTTCATTCAAATAATTTTTTTTGTAGGTTTGTTGTTATGTTTTGGATGTGGTGAACCTCTACTCGATCGGTGGAGATGTCCTCCAATTCTACTTCTCTCCAAGTCTTTGAAGGTGCTAAAGAAGTGTGTGTACTTTGTGCCTTAATATTACGATAGAATTGTTGCATACTTGCCGTCTAGGTCGGTTAGTGACCTCCACGCAGCATTGCATTACAAGAATTCCTCGGTCATCAAAGAAATTATTGAGTTTCCGCCTCTGGATGCATGCCAGTTCTGTTCGTGTTGGTTGTCAAAAATTGGGGAAAATATTTCCTTTATATGTCAGGAAAGTATACCAAATCAAAAGCCTCAACTTCTTGCTCATATAGATTATTTTAGAAAATGTGAGTATGGCATTGGTGGTATCTGATTGTCATGGTGTCTTACATTCTGAATTTCGCAAAGCTGAATGGAAGTATTGTGATTACAATTGCTTTAAAAATCTGTTATTTTTGCGTAACTGTATTTAATGTTTGCTAATATTATTGCTACCTTATATTTGGTGTTCCGCATCGCAAAATGCTGGTTTGGGACTCGAGAAGTTTTAATCGTTCTGCATCTGATATTGCATCGCCAGCTCATGGCTGAGGCAGTCATGATTCTTTTGCATTATTGCACTCAGACAAGAATGCTTTTATTCTTTTGAAATTTTAAGTTGAGATTTCCTAGGAATTAAAGCGAATTGCAAGAGCAGGTTTTATTTGCTCATTGAATTTTTTTTTATTTCGAGGGCCTCATAGTAATGTCCTTACAAAGGAAGACAGGGTCATTGCTCTTCATGCCCTAGTAGAAACTATGATCCTCTCGTTGAAGGACTCTGATGATTTTAAGCCCTTACATCCACATACAGTTAGTGTTTTCAAGTTTATTCTGAGTAAGTGACCAAATCACGTTTTTCTATACTGTTAGTGATTATTAATTGAACACTGAACTTCTGTTTTTTAACCTCCCACATCATTCTTCGCTTTAATAAATTTATCGGCAATACTAACTAGCGGTAAAAGGTGTGACTGCTCTCATCTCTTACCCATTTGTGGGCAGTAACATTAACATCATTTCTTATGGACGAGATCATTCCAAAATCAGTGTAGTTGTGATTCTTTGCGTCTTCTTCCCCTGCTTTATTTGTATTGCCATCCAGTGTTTTATCCGTTCGCCATTTCTTCACAGTCAGTTGTACAAATTTTTGCCTTACGGCTGAGGTGAACGTAGTTGAGAACTTCTCGGCAACTGGTAGTCGCCCAGGATCCAGTAACAAAACCCACATGTACAGTTCGCTGCATTTACCTAGATTTACGTTTAAAGTTAAAGTATGGACTCCCTTTTATCAATACGAATATAATTACCAATCAGTCATAAACATCTCGCCTTTAGCCGCCTATAAAGTCTTCAACCACTGTTCTTATGTCCTATTTTTAGAACCCTTCCACGTAAATCCCCTTGAAGGTTTTCTCTACGATTCTACTTTTCTTGGGTTGAGGATAAATCGATCCATTCTTACAAAGTTAAATTTGACTCGAAACATGCCATTTGTCGCAAACTGAGATGACGATGATAAGGTGTCCTTCGTTGACTCACGTTTCTGATAATGTGGGCTCTAGGCAGCTAAGTTCGTCATTCTCGATGTCTGCATTATTACCATAAATTTTAAACTGGTTCAAAGTTGCTTGGAGGGATAACCGTTTAAAGACTGTCTGTCAGCCACCTGTACGTGCAAGTTTCAAGTTTCTTCGTAGTATTTACGCTAATGACGAACATGTCCACTAAAAAAGAAGCAATTACCTTCCCTAGTAGTCAATTCTCATCAATCTCAGTGAACTGCTGTAACTCTTTTTTCAGGGCTGTTGGTGTTGCGCACATGTTTATTTATGTAATTGGAGCAAGCCATTTGCCCTGATATAATTTATCTTCGAAAGGCACAAGCAAGTTAGGTCCCGGAAGCTATGCGAAAGTTGCTCTTCGTGTGCCTGTTTTCTGTGGAGAAGAGTTTGAATATTTGTTCAGACCTATCTACAATCGTTAAATTAAAACGTTTAAGCAGCCAAATTGTAATACCCACCTAAAACGAGATTGCAGCTACTGGAAACAATGTTTCTGCGTGTAGGCCTCGATGAAGAACGAAGGATCAAGCCAAAGATCCCACCACCAAGTGCCTGGTTTGGGAACCGGATTAGTGGCTTGTAAGCGCTTCTGTGGTATTTGTTGTAAGCTTTTCTGATTGCTCGTGCTTTTATGTTTCCTTTTTTAAGACCCCCATTGATAAATAAATCCGGGAGAATACTTGCGGGTGCAGAGCCTGGCTCAAATTTTCTTCGACGCTCACTGTCAGTTTCCCCAAAGTCGTTGAAGTAAGCATGATTCAGTTGACATTCCTTTTATTTTTGCACCAAGTTGTCGAATGCAATTTTGGTTCTAACCATTGTGAGCACTAAGAATCCATAACGTCTTGCTAAGTTAATTGACTATTTTCTATCTTACTACTTTTGTGGTTAATCAAGTTGTCTGCTATTCACTTTAGGGCTGTTCCTTTCTTGAGAACCCGACTGCATCCCTAATCAGTGTAGTTCGAATTATATATGCTCAAGGGAGTTCAAAGTAGTAAAACGGAACTAGCATCGTCATTCTGGGTTGTAAATTATCTACTCTCATTTGGTTTCGAAGTAAGGTTGCAGTCTAATCATCTCCCATCGTTCTCAACGGTGGCTGAGGATAGGCGTGTGAAATTTGGAATTGCCCTGCAAATGTTACCTAGTCTGTACTATCAATAAGTCGCTAGACCCACTCAGTCCATGCCACTTTTGAGGCTGTTCCATGTGTTAATAATTCGGTTGTGTGTTTCGATTTGTAAAATTTTATTGTGTAAAGCCAGCCCTTTGTTGATAGATCCCCTGGTTTGTCTCCTGTTTTTTGTAATGGTTTTTCATATCTCATATCCATAACGGAACAGCCTTTATTCCTCCTAGGCGGTCTTTTACCTCCGATGATTTGCGAAGTCAATTACAATCGCGAGCTCCTGAGCCCTCGGGGAAACTTCGGAAGGCTTCCTCAATGACAAGAAATACTATATGCAATACTGAAAGAGCTCTACGTTTGGCAACAACCTTATTATCGCCCAGCATTTGTTACCTTATTGCCAGTCTCACCGCAGCTCTGAGAAGCCTTCGGGAAGGCGGCGAGGATGGTTTGATATGCTCCAAGGTGACTGGGTTTCATTGCAAATTTTGCCTCAGTACCTCAAAGTCACGAAAGTGGATTACCGTTGTTAACCTTCCAACTAGATTTTTACTTGCTTCATGCATTTTTCAGTGAATATGAGTAAATATGCTATCAACTGTTGCATTTCTTTAAAGTTGGCTTCTCATTTGGCGCCGGTACTTTTTCCTGCGAATTCCCAAGAAGCGACTTGTCCTCCAGTGGTTGTGTCATCCGACTGGAAGGAGGCCGTTTTGGCTACTTTGTTCTCAGTGGATGCTGATAAATGCATCGCGCCCTCTGAACTCGTCAAGAGCATAGTCAATCTGCAGGCTCCATCCCAAACTCTTGAAGCTCCAGTCAAGGTATTTTATTCAATTTTTTTTTCAGTTGTAGTTTTTTTAATCTGGCATAAACCTCTGGGATATATCAGATTAAATCTTACCTAGTCGTCAGTCACAGTTATATGAATGCCGTAGTTCTCAGGCAATTTCAGACTTGTAGCTGAGTGTTAAAAGTGCAGCCTTTATAATTCGAGTAAACGGTGTCAGCGAAAGTTTACGCAAGGTTTCTGGGACAATTAATAATCGCATTTTCAATTAGTGATCAGACTCCATCCACTATTCCACTAAGAACTGACTTACAGTTTTCCCCAAATTCTCTTCCTTTTAATTTTCATCTTACCATTTTCATTGCTTTGTTAAAAGCAGTCGCCTTCTGAATCAATGCGCGTGGCCCCATTGCGATCCGCTTTATCTCGCTTGAACATAAATAAGACCTCAATTCGAGGGCAAGCACTCCCCGATGGTTCTTGTCATCATCTTGACAGTGATTCTGAACGCGTAATTTGTCCCCTGGCCTCCAAATATGGATACTCTCCTTCTTTGGTTCAAGCAAACACTGCTTCAAGCCTTCACCGATCCTATGTGGAGGTTCGTACTCTTTGCTTAAAGCCGAACAGCGCATGTTGCGTACAAGGCCATCATTCTTAAATTGCTTCCCATTTTATTTAGAAAGCTTACCATTGCTTTACCGTTATGCTTTGCAGAGAAGCAATGAGCCTAAACGACTGGCCAAATTGGAGAATACTTGTGAGCTGTTGCGACTCCTTAATACGATCTTGGATGATCGAGCAATGGATCCAAAAATGAAAATGAATTGCCTTCGTCAGGTATTATGGCACGATTCGCCTTCCCTAGCACTGCTTGTCCAATCCAATATCGTAAAACACTGGTTTGTCGCTTTTTTCTGTACCCTATGCAGTTGTAGTCGAAGCGCTTGTCTTTCTGCAAATTGGACATCCCAAACAGGTTAAAGTGCAAAGATTTGTCTGGTAATTTTATAGCGATCATCAATTGCAATGAAACGGACGTCGATAGCCTCAGTCTCTTTCAATGTGTTCCTGCTCGCACAGGGATTTCATGACCTTGGACAATGCGCCTTTTTCTAGGTGCCATTAACATATCGGCTTCGAACATCGCATAGCGCTAGACATTAGATTTGCGTGTCAAAATTTCCAAAATATTACATGTAAATTGCTTGTCATTTTATGTGAGTGACTCGCATATTGTTAACTAGAAGTGAATGTCGAACAAAAAAATAATCCATGCATATTTACGCACTGTATTACCCTTTCCTCCCTTACTGCCTAAGTTCCAAGCTTTCCATGGTGATGTATTCTGGTTACGGTTTGGCAACGCTGAGACAGCGGACCGGTACTTTGAACGGCTGAACCAGCGAATCGCAAACGCGGCACACCAACGGAGCTCCGCGTTGTCTGTGACTGACATCGCAAAGTCGATCAAACTTTTTCGGAAAAAGGATATCTCAACTACGTCAAACTTCTCAAAATAGCTCGTGCTTATTGTTCTACGAAGAGACGGTTACTATTTCGTACTCCCATGCCTTTATAATAGATTATGTTTTACACACTGGTTCGTTATTACTGACACGCAGACTGAACTCGAGTTTATGCGACTCAAGTTGGTCTTGCATGTCTGCAGAGCGATGGGTGCGAGTGAAGTCTGCAATGTTGTGCCCGACAGGGCTAAAACGAGGAAGTCCGTGAATCGCAAATGCGCGAAGAGGCACAACGCCCAAATCAACCTTCACAGTGTCTAAAATTTAATTGTCATGATTTGTGAGTGTCTTTTCATATAAATATGTCTTAGTTTAATTAAACTTGACAATTCACTTCAGTAACCTAAATTTACGGACTCTTGGTGCAACCTGCAACTGAATGCGCTGTGAAGAATGTGTCACAATCTCTGCCAGGCCTAAGCCACACATTTTATGAAACCGACTAATCCCTCAAAATCCCGAACAGGTGTACAATAGTCAAGTCGGCAACTCATTTACTCCTATCCAGCCAGGGAGAGGCCATTGCGTTAGCAAGGCTACGATTATGCCATTTTAATAATAGACAAAAATACTCACTAGTGAATACATCGGATCTCATAATGAGTTTTTTAAAATAAAAAAGAAACTTGGTGTAAGAATGTGTAGACAATCCAATAGGAAACATGTAAAACTTGAAATGAAGCTAATTCTACATAGGTGATGCTGTAGCGGACATAGCAACAGAGTCATCTTTCCTGGACGAGAAGCTCCCTGTCTTCACTAGTGGCTTCAACTCTGCCGTGCCGGGTGACCCATTGGGGGTGGCTATTGTGGCACCCGGTTCCGACAGCGAACGTCTTTCTACACGTCGACTGATGAGCCAGGAAGCCTTGGATTGAGGCTCACCAGCAGCAGACGTTGCCCTGTCGTCGGCATCATTTGTGAATGTCGTGGGTGTGATGATGTTCATGTAGCGCGTGTTTGGCGCTTCATTCACGGCCATGTTGGTGCGCTCTGTCGGCGGCAGAGCTCCACCGGCTGACGAGAGACGAGGTGATGTGAATGGCGAAGGAAACTTTGTAGTCGTGAGACGTGCAAAGAAACTCTCTAGTTGGTGCAGCGTCATCGCGTTGTGCAAAGTTTCTAAGGGATAAATCTCCGGCACACTGGGCGCGCTCGGTACCATGAGATCCGACGGATTTTGTGGAGCTAAGGAGATTAGCAAGACCTAAATGAAGCTGGTGTATCGAGGGGATGTGGGTAACAAAACAAGTGTTGGAGGTACTCACATTCAATTGAACTCGGCAATAAAGTGACCCAAAACAGATGGCAAAACGGTACTGCATCAAAAAATAGCTATTTAGGGTCTTAATGTTTGCCAAGCCTCCCACAGAACATGACAACGAACGGTACTACGAGTACTTCCATAACTGCAAGCAACCATGGCTATGGTTTTTGACGAAACCGACCGTCCAGTAGGCCATGACTTCAAGGAACAATGACATATGACACCAAAAATAAACGATTCCCGTGTGTAGTCCAACATGGTAGCATTAAAATGGGGACTCACTTTCAACCTGGGAGTGACCACCACTATCCGAACAGTTAAGTAGTTGAATGAGATCTGGGACACTGCTTGAGTAGGTGTCCCGGGAACCACGAATCACAGCAGTGCTTATAAGACCGCGTACACGCCGTGTAGGACATGGTGAATTCAGATCTATAAAAGTGAAAAGCGAAAAAAAGAAGCTTAGAAATGCGGCGGAAACGGTGGTGCGTAAACCGCAAACAGGACTCGAGGAAGTCAGGGAAAAGGAGTCAACCAACACAAGCATTGAGGACATTTTACAAACATACGGTTTCATTGACGACGGGATCCGGTTTATCTCGAAATAGCCAAAGTCCTAAAGCACTTCCCTCGAATGTATCAAGGATGTAGACGAGACTAGAATTTTTGTGTGTGAACGAACGTAGTCTTATGTAGGTTTAAAAATGTGAAGCATCACACAGTGGAAACGAAAAAGGAAGTTCAAGAACAAATTGATCAGAATTAAAAAATAAACCTTAAGGTAATTTGTAATAAAATTCTTCTTCGGTAACTGGAAGTGACGACAGGCTTAGAAATTACTAAGCATAAGCTACTGTTTGGATCCAATAGTCGGTCACTGACCGCTCTCTTTGGTGCTTTCGCTCCTGAAGTCACGATAATTCAGAGATATGGAAAGTGTTGGTTTAGCGACGAATCGACTTTATTGGTCGCTTTTCAAGTGCAGCACACACAAAAGCCCCTCACTTTCAACAACTTCGTTTTACAGTGCTTTTTTTCTAATATTGGACTTAAATAATTCGGGATAGTGATGAGAAGGAAGGTGATGACAAGGGTATAAAGGAATTACCACAGGATCCGTTTCCGAGAGGACAATTTTGAAGTTCTGAAAAAAAGACAAGTAGTGGCATTAGTTTTAAGACAACGGAAATCACAGTAAATCTGGGATAATTTCTATGTATAATGGTATCCTGAAAAAGAATAATAAAATAAGTGTGCTGTCATTAACCCAAGACAAAACATGAGGGATAAGACCGAAAAATACCAGCAAAGCGACATCAGATTGAAATTTTGGGAATGAGGAGACGCAAAAAATGAAGGCACTACGGTATTCGTGGGTTGGTTTGAGCAAATTCAAGTTTACCAACACCACCCGTTACATCTGAGCGGAACACTAAACTGTCAGTTTAGAAATCGGTCCGTTATAGTTTATCTCTCTGTTCTCCTCCTCTTCCTTCTCCATCTTCATTTTAGAAAAACCTGTTGATAAGAATTTTAACGGTCATTTATCACAAAATGTGCTAAATGCAATAAAGTTGTCAAGTAAAAACGACGGCATTTAGGCTGCGATACTGATGTCAATACACAACCTATTAACTGTTTAATAGTAGTAAAACCACGTGTTCAGAATGTATTTGACCTGACATTTTGATTGGCAAATTTGCATGAACGCTGGTCAATCAACTGTACACGCGAAACGTCGGAGAAATAGTTCAAGTGCTAAACCAAGCTTTGTGGCATACTACTTGGTGGTTGCACACACCGTAACATAAGAATTAGTGGTTGTAAGGAAAAAATTCAGGAAAATATCATACAGCCTAGCGACGAAACTAACAGACACCGAATTTACTCAGTGTAACTTTCTGGTAGGTAGTAGACAATCTTGAGCAGAGAATGGAGCTGGAATTCAGGAAACGACATGTCACGCAGTCTATAGAGAGGTCCGAGTGCCCAAATGAGCTGATCACCCTGCGTCAAGGCGCGCAACTGATTGAGGTTTAAAAAATGTGCATCCTCACCTTTCAAATCGATCTGCACTTGGCGATTTGGATAGGTTAGGGCGTTTAGCTCCCTAGCAACGATGTCGTTAACTGAGACATTAGCCGCAGCATCGGTTGGGCGCTCGGGGAAGTAAGCACTGGAACCCTGGGAAGGGATCACAGAACCTCGACTTCCTTCTCCCGGTTTAGGTGGCACCTCTGATCCCCCGTGTGACCTCATGGATGCGTGGCTCTCTTCTGTATTCGTTACGGTACCTTCTTCGGACATCTCAGTTGGTGCTATCATCTGATCCACTAGAAGAGAACGACAAACAGGTTACTGAACGGCTAAATGAACCTCGTAAACTTAACCGAAAGGCATGACTATGGCAAGGGTAGTTTAAGTGAATAACAAAATTATTTCTTAGGAAAAGAATAGAACTCGAGATAATCTGTGTGATGATTCCGGGGATAAAATATGTTGGCTGTTTAAAAGATCGCTTTAACCAGGCCAACGCAAACCTAGCGCAACCGACAGTGTCCAACAAGATTCTTTCAATCAAAAGACTGCAGCTTGGAACCCTCGGAGGATACTTAACAACCCATTCTTTTAGAAATAGCCTGAAAGTCATAAGAAGCAAAAAATGATTCAATTACACAGGTTGTTCGAAAAGTCGACTTGAGGAAAAACAAAAGGGCTCAAAAATAGAGAAAAATCGAAGGCCGTACCTGAACCCCGGCGAGTGTCATTGCTTGAAAGGGGCTTCGGAATCTGAAAAAAAATAGTTCTGAGAAATAGGAAACTAAGTTTTTTTTTTAAAAAATAGACCTATTCTAAAATCTACTAAGCTAGAAACGACTGGTGGCCTTAGCCATCTCAATGTTGGCGAAATAAGCGAACATATCGCTTAGACGATACTGCGAACTAAAAACAGAGGATTCGAGAATAAGAGTCAAATTTTGATTTCTTCAAATGTATCGAAGGAACATTATTGCATTAAGTTATTAACTTGAGGCAGACTGATTGCTACTTTTATTAAACCAAAACATCAGCATTTTCAATCTTTAACAAATCCAGAGAGCACTGACCTTGTGAACAAACAGAAGTTCAAATCAGTAAAATAGAGGTAACGAATACAATGCTTGTGAGGTAAAACTAACTAAACAGTAGGAAATTTTCAGAGGATAATATCAGCCAAGACTACATTAGGTTAAATGCAAACGTATTTATCGATATTAAAAATGAATCGAATAGAGCAAACTGAAATAAGTTTATCGAAAACTGAACACCACAACAGCAAATATTAGCTGCGTAATTGGGTTTTAATGCAAAAAGTCAGGGTTAAAGGATAACCGATATTTGGGAGCTAAAACGACGCATGCAGAACAGAACTGGGGTGGCTCAATACTCGTTGAATTTAGCAAAAGTAAATTAGGAACGGCACAAAGCAAATTCTAATGGGGTACCTCATGGAGCCGCACTAAATTGAATTAGATGCAGAGATCAAAGATGTGCTGAATAACAGGGTTGGAGTTAGCAAGCCAAGCATGTAAAAAAAGGCGAATCGGTGAAAGTGAAAAAGCAAAAATAAGATAGCTACTTATGCCAAATCAGCAGGGAAGAGCCATCAAGTAGCCTAAAATCGAGCACACACGTTCCTTTACATTCGTACCATAATTCAATGTAAGCTCGGGCAGCTAAAATATTAGAGCACTAAATACATGCTGTAAAATTCTAGTTGGTATGTGATCATTGCAGATGATAGTAACGTTATCTTAGGTAAAGAGTACCTTCGAGGAGATGTCAACGGATAGCAGTTACTTAAGCGACTACACGACGTCATAGCAAGCACACGCGTACACCCCAAAGCGCAACACCAAGATTAGATGACAAACGTAGGCTATACCATGCTGAGATCCGCTGTCAAGTAGTCGGCTGCGGAAAGAATGGGTTTATAATTAGCCTGTTTGGGCGAATCCACCACTTCCAGGTCCACTTCGGAGGTTTCCCCCCCTTTACTCCATTTAGCTTTCTCAATCTGCTCAAAGTACTCCATCAGCCATTGGGCCACAGGGACACCCTGATCCAACAGTTCTTGAGCTCGATCCGGCTTCACGGAGTCTAACGAAGTGTAAACCTGAGCTGTTACCGATGCGTCCTCGCCTCCAAGACACGAAGACTTCGACTGGAGAGTGCAAAATTCCTGCGGCTTGTCTCCAAAACTCAAACGTCTTGCGACGGGTGCGTTCACAAGGCACGGAGGTGATCCACGATTCTGACACATCCATTTCACAGGAGATCCTGGTGTCGTTGCTGAAAAGTGGCGAGGAGAACTTGCGGAGGGGTTGACAACAGCTAAATCCAGAGTAGAATGCGACGTGGATACCTCCGGCTCACCAGTGGTTTCAATATCGTCATCGTCTTCCAAGTCCATCGTATCAGTGTACCAGGGATTCCACTGAGCGGTAGAGGTGGGAGGTTTCAATGCCGAAATCTCCGGTAAGTCTAAGTGAGGCGACGTCACTGTAAATCTACCACGGGTTTGTGAAAAGTGAGGGGGTATCAATCTTGTTGCTAATACATTATCTCCGTCCGAATTCAGAGCTCTTTGCATGGGTTTGCAAACGGTAGTCAGTGTTTTATCGTGCCAACTGGAATTATTCTCACTTGTGAGTATCGACGGTGAGGTAGAAGCGTGCTCAACCATAGGACCGGTACTCATTGAGCGCTCCGTACCTTTCTTGAGAACACGCTGGCTTTGTCTATGCAAGTTGCGAGTATTCTCAAGCCAGAGTTCCTGCATTCTTGAACGATGGCCCAACACCGCATCTTGGTTCACAACGTCCGCGTAGCACAGCCCCGATTGAAGTGCTGGTGGACGATACACAACGGAGGTTTGTCGAGATATTCGCACATTTTTTCGATGCTTATCGGCATGACTCCTGGCCGGCGGTTGGGCACAGGCGGACGTGGCAGACGACTCAGTTGCCCGACCTACTTCGTGCAAGTCTGCAGGTAGCGATCTATCAATACAGAGGCTTCGACAAGCCGAAAAACACTGTTTGCTTATTACTTGAGCACGTGAATTTGGGGAACGCGAAGGAAGGGCAGCTTTTTTGTGGCCCTGTGAAAATGTGGCGGCTGAAGTTGGCGAAGAGTGCGTTAGAGTCCCGTCCACACCGGTTTGCTCGCTCGCAGAATCAAAACTAGTCTCCGCCAAAGATGTAGAACTACTCAATAGACTGGTCTGTGAACAACAACCGTTCTGCTCATGCGTGAACGTCAGTGAAGGAACACATCGAATGTGCAATTGAGCAAATAACACCCAGGCAACCATTTTGTCGAAATAAGATGGAAACCATTTCAAAATAAGGTGGAAAACATGCAGAGCGGTGATTTAGGGAGGGAGGGGGGTGAGAGGGAGAAAAGAAGAAAAGCATGTATTAATGTACAGTAATGAAACATTTAACTTAGGTATTTACTAACAGTGGGGTAAAAAGGACCGTTTTCCCTCAAGGACACTTGTGTACAAATGGAAGTAATGAAGCGGCAGTTACTATTTTTTAGGTCGGAAATCACTAATTATTGCTTCTTAAGCAAGCACTCCCAAGCCAAATGCACATGTGTACAGTAATAAACGGACGTCTTAATTTTGGGTGCAACATCAAACAGCCGTCTTGTGATATCAAACTGCAATCGAAGTTTGAGTCAAACACTTTTTTTTAAGTACACAACGAGACAAGCTAATTTAGCTGTACTTGCTACTAAATTATTTTCCTAATCTCAAAGCAACAACCATTTGACTTTTCCTTGGGCTTCAGAGATACGACAATGAAAAATACAATATATTATCAAGATATGGTTTGATTCAACCAAACCAAAAGTGGGCCATGTTGCTATTTGAGAAACAACGCTAACAATCGAGCATCGATGTTCGGCAAAGCTGTCAAGACAGCAGACAATTCACAATGTCGCAACTTTGGCTAAATATTTGCCATGGTCTTCGAGCCATGCATTAAAAAAACACAAAATAGGCTAGGAAATCAGGAGAAAGGGTGAAACAACACCCTACCTCACGACGTCCAGGTCTAAAACCGGAACCAGCCGGAAGATCTCGACAAAGGGCGTGCGCTCCGGGACTGAAGTGCAATTCTACGTGGAATTTCTTTTCTGTCTTCGGTTCCTATAATACAACAAACAAACGTTCAACGGCAGATTATGAGTCCATTAAATGGGTAAGAAGTCGTACGTAGCACAAGCACAAGCGCTGTCACTAGTTAAGGTGATTGCGTCTCACAACGTGGCTATACGAGGACACCAAGGCGTTATCTAAAAGCACAGCGACTAAGCAGCTTCAACGGCTGAGGATTAAGTCTTTACAACGTCGATGACGTATTTAAGCCTATCGCACTAGATAAACCAGTGTGGTAAAACAAAAGATTATACGGAAATAACATGTCAAATGTCACGAATGGTTTATTCAGGACAGGAAGTGGAATTGAGCAATGACGAAGGCGTCGATAACAACAATTACATTCCCCAAAACCCAATGTGAGTGGACGCGAGATTGGTACAGAAAATTAATGCGACGTTAGTGTGATGAAAGCGATAATTTAAACTACATCAGATGTAAAGCAGTTCTGCATTAAACAATGTGCTCATAACGACCAATTGGCAGTCTTACTTAAACGACTTAGCTAACTTAGAAATTTGTTGATTCATGGGAGAAATGGGCCAGGTCTAAAAATCCTGCCCAGAAACAAGTAATACAAGCATGCCGTGGAGATCTGAAGCGAGTAAACTTGTTCCAGACATCGAATAATAGCGTGGTAGTATTATTGCGGAAAGTTAGTCAAACAATTGACGATAAATCTAATATTCACGTCAGCAGGTAAACTAGATTTTTAAGATAGAGGGAAAAATGGAACTCGAGTGACATCACAATGGGATGCACTTCAACAAAGAGCCTACCGGTGAATATTGCAGGTGCCAGATATGTAGACGTGAAGACTGGTAAATGACTCAATAAATTAAAACAACTTACCACAGTTGGATCCTCGTAAATCATGATAACAACTTGAGACAAATAGTTGAGTTCTGGTACCGTGCTCACGTAGTCCATGGCGCGTTTCCATTGCTCGTCCGTGGCAGCGTCCGCCAGTCCACCGTGCTGCAAGCAGGTCAGAATGGAGTGGAGATGGCTTTCGCTAGTGAAGTAGAGCCGAGTTCGCACAAAGCGCTCCGGAGACGCGACCCCTTTCGAATAACTAGTGGTAACAAAAACATGCCCTTTCATAATTAAATCAACGAGGAGATCAATTCGTCTGTTTGGAGGTTGTTTCACGGCGACCCTACTACGAGGCATCTTGATTAGTCAACTAGGCAGGGTTAACACAAATACTGATAATGGCTATCACTGGGCAAAACGTTTTCTGGATTAGCAAAAGAAAGCCGAACAAAGAAGACGCGGTTATCCAGAAACCAATAGCTAAAATGTTAGAATTTTTCATCGAGGTGATTCGTCACACCAAAAAACAAGCCTAGTTCTGTCGGAGCATAATTTAAAAGTGTAGAATAGTCATTAATGAGTTAAGCAACAATCAATACTTTGAGCCGAAACTGTCCACCCAACTTAAAGACCATGAATCGAACTTATTTTAATCTGCAGAGGAGGGTCACATGCACAAAATGCCACCAGATTTAACGAAGTGGCCGTACTAGACAATTTTGCCTATCATTTCGTTAACGCCAGGAAAATTAAAATTAAGCCAGTCGAGTTTAAGTTCACACAAACCAGATGTGAATTAATTTAAACCTAAAAGATGTCATGCTATATCCAGACAATTATAATCGTGCGTGACGACGAAGACAGCACGTTTTCGAGGTTTACCAAAGCGAAGAAAAGAAGACTAAATTACTGTCTGTGCGAATGGCGTCAAGTTGTGAAAGCACCGCGTCATGGTATTTGAAGCATCAAGGACGGTGGATCTTTAGGGAAAGCATTCAATGCTAAAATAAATCGTGATGGAAAAAAACAGGAACCGATAGTAAGGGGTGATACAGAACAGAGGACAATAAGCACGACAGATCTGGCCTACTAATGTAGTGAAGATTACGAAAAAAACTAATTAAACGTCAATATGACACGCAATAAAACCTAGCATGACCGCAAGTAGAGCAGTAAGCAATGCTGATTCACAAGACCTGGCAACATAATGGCAAGAAAGTCTTTAATAGCACAAAATTTTATTCTGATGACTACTGAAATGATATCAGAAAGCAAAGCGCAATAGGTGGAAAGGCCTTTGCAGCGATTGGGCTTCTGGTAGGAGGTCATTGTGTATTCATTGGTGGTGAAATTCTAGCGATTACATTGTGTCAAGAAGTATTTTCGTGGCTAACTTACTAATGCCCCCATTAATGATTTACTTTTTGTACAAAAGCAAATAGTTTACCCAAACCGTAGTCAGAAAAATTATTAACGCAGGCAAACGAAGCTAGCTTCGCGAGAGCCAATTCAACACGAAACAACCTCCAGGCAACCTGGTGTCTAGGAAAGGAAATTCGAATGATAGAAAAGGAAAAGAGAAGTGTCATAGAGTCGCATGAAGAGCCACAAGCTCAAACTGGAAAAATTTGAAATTGTAAATCTCGGGAGCATGGTATCTCCAGACCACACCAGAGAGCGCCTGCCCATTTGTGATTGCAAATGACTTTGGCATGATTAAGACAGAGTTTACAAAAGCGGACGGAATGACGCCTAACGTATCTGTTCAGAACAAAAACAAACGCCGCAACAGAAAAGTTAATTTTGAATCCGATTTTGCCTTTTATAGGTTTGACGAGGTTACAGAGGAGCTTGAGTATTTTAGTGACTAAAATCCTTTGCTTGGTGATTTACTTTAACATACAAAAACCTTCGAGTGGGCAAATAATGATACTCCGAAATGAAGAGTCGACTGATTCTCCACTGCCACATACAGTAAGCATTCATACGATCCAGAAGGAATAAATCATGTTTTTTTTTACCCCGAGAGTTGGATTTTTGGGACCAGGGAATTTAAAGATTTTCGACCTATGAAGTACTTGATCCACACTACTGGATTGAAGGATCGAAAAAAAAAATTACCAAAAACATCCATGCATGAGGAAAGTAAGTAGAGAAGACAGAATGGGAGAGAGAGAGAGACGTACATACTTTAATTAATCTAAAAGTTGACAATTTTTGCGACATTCACATGGTTAACAGACATGCGATGAACTTTCGACCACAGTCGATGACCAAGCACATCGTTCAAGTGGTGGTAAAAAACTATGCAAATATCACGTGAGGTTTTGATTTTGTTACAACAGAATGGATAAAAAGCGAACCAAAAAACATTTCAATACTAAAGGTCATGTAACATGTGCCAGGAAAAAGTTGAGACTAAAGAAAACGATACACCATCACAAATAAGTCCGAATACAAGGAGAGAAATGTCCTTGCAATTTAAAACGAGGTTGGGGAAGTAAGCATACTGGTTTATTTACAATGAAATTGACTCATTATTGTGGCAACACCTACGGATGCAAGAATGAAGAATTATGACACGATAACGTTTGAATAAGAATATGACCCACTTTTTTCACACGACAGAATGTGATGATGTAGAAAACTGACAGCATATCGGAGGAGTGGCTGATAATTTGCACAGTAAACCAAACTATACATAAAGCGATCAGAAACGCAAACAGAAAAGGCAGTGAAAAACAGAGAAGGCGAGCGAGCTGCCAAACTAACGAGGCTCAAAGCAGACAAACATAATATGGCGTTATCAGATTAGAATCAGCTACTTTGACTTTAGCAACCGTCTTGTGGTAATTATGACAGATCAATATACAAAAACAGCATTGTCAATTTGAGTAGATGAAAAATAATGGTCTTTAAATCAACAACTACAATACTTGCAATTTGTCTTGATCAAGCAGTTCCTTCTTCCTACGATTGTTAAATAGTGTTTCCAAGAGAAACATGGAATACGTGAGAACTAAGAATAGGTTTTGCGTTTGTTTAGAATTCAAAAATAAGCCGCACACGTAAAGAGACTGACGTTTGTGTGAGTTATGCGATGAGAAGAAACTTAAAAGGCCTGAAAAGATGAGTCGTGCAAAGCATATGCCCACATCTCAGGAATGAAGGATATTCACTAGTAGGCCCAAATGTGTACAGGCGCATCACGCGCACTATTAGTGTAAACATGTACTACTTGTTCGCACGAAACTTAGCGATCTTAAAAACAAGTTAAACAAGTCATTTTTAATGTCACCAATTTTGCGAAAGCCATTTAAATACCTTTTGGGGTATGAAACACATAATATCGTATATGAAAATGGAACGACGTGGAAATCAGTTGGTAGATACAGTACGAGCTTCGAAGCTAAACAGACCAGTTTTGAAAAGCTACGTTCATATTTTATCGAACAATCAGCCCAGCAGAGCCTTCGTTAAATCGAAGGTTGGTGTACGAAGTGAAAATTAATTTGGGAAAATACGGGCTCTAAAAAAGAAAAATACTCCACTGCTTGACCCAATCCTCTAGAGCAAGCAGTTTGGGCCGAGAGACTAAACTACAGGAGCACTCTTGGCAATGTGTTGCCGGCCATTGAGAAGCGCAAGCAATCGAGGCGGGTTAAAGCACTCCCAAGAAGGTGTAACGCACCCAGCATGCAAACGGGTGCATTCGTCAACGTCGGTGTAACGGGCGTCGGAGAGGATTTTCCGCAATAGAGGTGTACAAATGCGCTGACTGATGACGAGCTTCTCCTCTTTGGTAATACCATATTCCTAGATACAAAAAAACCAACGCTTAATGTTGTGAATAGGTGTAAAAAATTCCAAGTACTCGTAAAGCCAGTCCGTCTTATCGGTTTGACAACATTAATACCACATCTGATTAATGAAAGAGTCAGCATTGTTTACACTTTTACTCATGCAGATGACATTCAGAATTACCTTACTTCATGGTCATGGGAATTGTTATTTAGCTACCACGAAATTGAAAAAAAGGTAATGACTTTGTAAATACTAGTTTTACACACACATACACGTGTACTTGCTACTTTGATCATTAATGTGCTGGTTTGTCAAGAGCATCGGTGGCTCACCACCTTGTAAACAATTGTGCACTTTAGAATTTTACAGTCCACGTTCAACGTAGACACGCCTTGTCAAAATGTGAGCCACATTTTTTAATCACGGAGAGGAGGCGGGGTGAAAACATCTCGGTTCAATCGTGATGAGGAACCCCCAACTACTAGCACCTCGTTAACATTTTACGAGCTGTACATTTCCACACTCACATGGTTACGTTATTACACGAACCACTTATCGTGATTAGCACAGGTTCTGATGAAAAGGCCTGAAGTTTTAGTACCACCATACAGAAAACGAATTCGTCTGGTTTTCTCATTCCGCGGATGAAATTGTAATAAGAGCAATTAACGAAAAGGATTAGGTTAATAACTCGTTTATGATACAGACGTCTAAAAGTGGATCGAGACGAGAACAGAGCGTGCGATCGTTTGGTAAGCCATGGGAAAACTGCATGTCTAGTCAGGTGAACGATTTAAAAAGGTCACAGACACACTTCATTAAAAAGGAATTTGGACACCCAATGTGGACACTAAGACTTTGTTGGTCACCAGTGCCGATATTCGAGTAGGAATGTTTCTAGCAAAAAAATGCCACAAAATTGAGCTAATAAATTACAACAGATGCCGAAAGTCGTTAGAAAAATATTTATGCTTAAATTGCCGTAAACAATAACGAAAATAGAAAACTGCCTATGAGTGTCAGTGTGCCCACTTTACTCTTCTCGAGAATAACCCTCTATTTAAAATCTACCTTAGCTATTACTTAGCACAACTTACTATCAGAATGCGCATTAAGCCAATAGAATGAGACATTTAAAACAAGGTGTTGAGATAGGCGGTGTGAAAAGGAGAGCGACTAGATCCAACTAAACGCATGATTTAATTTGATCTGATAATTGATATCACATACCAAGAAATTTAGTAACTTTGAATACAATCCAATGTATGACGAATTGAAAGTCAACTCATTACTTCACATATAAAACTTGGGCTTTCTCGATATTTTCAACATCGAACAGAAAGTAAAGATCAAAGAAAAACACTAATGGAATTCGAATATGATGCGAGCAAAGGCTAATTTCAAACACCCTGTACGGATGTGATATGTTCTTGAATTATAGACAACTTGCAGCAAGAAGCGTGAGAAGAATCAAACGACAGTAATCGGATCAACGGGCTCCCCCTAACACGATCCTTACACGCTCACATTGTTAGCACCTACAGTGACTTCACACCTTTCCACGCATGTAGACTTGGTGGCCTAGTAAATTGGCGAGTCAATCGTTTTCGGTCCTGTTTTGCTTGTACCTTTTGTCCCATCAGGCAGAAACAAATTATTTCCAGGATCATTCAATCGATAACTAGCTTGATGCGGTAGCACAGCGAGTCACCAATGAAATCAGTTTAAAACGCGAATTGAATACCAAAGCCGTCATATTTAGTCTACTCTGAGACGGCACCACCGTTCACGAAATAACTACACAAACTACGACTAGTCAAGTGTCGCCGTGAAAAAATTAAAGGTACAAGGATAGGGGGTCGCATTCTTGCAGAGACCATTGAAAATTTTCTACATTAGTTTATTGGAAGATATGTACAGTTGTGTAAAGACAACATTTAAGGGGAAAAATCATTTGTTATTATTTGAAAATATAATGAATAAATACCTGACCAACTCATGAACATTTTCGTTGGCATGTATCAAATAGTTTTTTTTCGGTTATTACACTTAGACGATTCCTACAATTCGATTACTACTTCCACCTGATTGCTTCTGCACCGCTTTTAGTACGCACTCCTTTGACGAATTGGTTGCTTCATTTATTTTTAAATTCACGGAAGGTTCGCTATTGCAATCCAATAATGAGCGGCCAGTTCATTAAATGGCAGGAGTTTGAGAAAAAAACATGTAACAAGCTTTACCAAAATAGCGGATTGGGTAACTTGGCCTACATACAAAGAGGGCTTACCTGGGGTACCACAATGTCTGCGAGTGCGCGTGCCAGGCTGAAGAAGTCAAGCATTTCCGATTCGATTAAAATACCCGAGTTATGCTGAATATCATACTTGATGTTATCATAAATGTCAGGCAGTTTTGAGACGTCGTAGTCACCACTAGGAGAACGGAAATCCTTAACTAGTTTTCCCCAACGCCTGAGCAAGAGATCCCAAGATTCATTATGATACAGAGCCACTTTTGCCCTTTCGCGTGGGTTGGCGGTCATCATTGCCACTCGGTTAGCTAATCTCTGTACATAGCCAAACAATTTAGCGCACGCCTCCGTCGGATTGCGCACGAAATCCATGGCGTTCAGTAGAGATTTTGCTCCTGTGGGAGCCAGAGCCTGTCGATGCTCTTCACCCCACACACCTTTGTACGCCATCACCTTTTTGATGCGTTTCTTAACCATCTGCTGATACTGGTGACAGTCATTGTCATTGTCCAGTAGCCCGTTGGTATTGGCGCTTTTAACCATTTGCACGAGGATCGGCGGCAACTCTCCCTCCAGTGCAAGAAATCCCTTAGCAAAAGCCGCGGCAGTCATTTGGACGCGGCCCTCGTCGGAGGCGTAGATTTTTAGATCGTGGCGATAAGTGGAGTGCAGGCGGAGCAGCCCCAGACCAGGATTTTTGCCGTAATTGCCATCGCCGCCGGGATAGATGCATCGGAAGGCCCGACCTAGATCCTCCGCCTGTTGGCGTCCCGCCGCTGTAAGTTCGCCACCCCATTTAACCACTAGAAGGATACAAGGGTCCCCATCAACTGTTGCTCCCGAAGAGCAAACAGCAGCGTCTGGAGACTGAACGTTGTCAACTTCGTTCTCTTCGCGCCCAGCAGTGAGCAGTCCTTTGCCTTGAGAAGGGGTTGTGCTTTTACCCGACCGACTGCGATTCAGTTTATCGCCTAAGGAAACCGAGTTCTTGTCTTCCGTTCCATTTTTGCCTACAAAACAGACAATCGTAGAGCAAGCACACCTCAAATTTGAATAATTAACTAATTACAAGGGTTGCACAGCAAATGATAAATTGTATGAGTTGGGTAAATATGAACCCAATAGGAGCGGATTTGATGGCGAAACGAAACAATCATTAAAATAATGAAGTTAGGTAGAACGAAATTATTGCTAACGAGGTCAGAAACAATTTCAGTGATGAAATGTTAAAGGACAGCCCGCTGTATTAGACCAGGACGACAATAATTTGTCGCCTAATTGGCCCATCATATAAGCTTTTAGAGAAAAATTACATGCTTTGTAAGAATAAAGCATAGAGATTCTATTGCAGACACGTCTCGTTTTTTGATGCGCGAAGTGTAGCAACGGCCATAACATGAGACTACCAGACCATTGAGGCATGCGAACTAATTTTTACATGCCACTTGATCCAAACAAGAATAATTATTGAGAAAGCCTTTACATGGGCAAGCACAATGACAATTGAGTGATGATGGTGGAGAAACAGAGAATCACGAACCACCGACTAGGGAATCAGGGCAACTGGTCCTACAAATTCTAAAATCGGCACTAATCAAAATAGGCACAAATGCCAGCGGCTTTGGTCAAAAGATTGTGGTTCAATGTAGTTCCTAGGTTGATTTGCGTACATAGCCTTCAATGCAATAAAATCTGCTTTTTGCGATCACAGAAGTGGTAACCTACGGTTCGATAATGCAAGTTGTGTCGTCATTGTGTGGGCCGTTGAGACCAACAAAAACAACACCATATGTTGTTACATTAGCTCAACTGAGTTGACAACAAACCAGAAGTGAAGAATTACGATGCGGTTTGGGACACAAACGACTTTAGTCCAATGGCATCTCTCTACCATAGGCTCCAGTGACCAGTAAGCAAGCCAACCCATGGCATGGATGATGGCTCTTTTGGATAATAGTTCCAACTCAACCCTTACCCAGTGTCAGACATTAAACATGAAGGGCGAAAATAAACATATCGCGGCATACATTTTGAGAGAAGACGCTGCATCGCAGTCTACTAAATTACAGTTCGACATAGAATCGGACGACTAAAGGAACTATTTGCATCAACAGAGCTTCCTCTCTTAGGTCAAAACTGAAGGCCAGTCGAATTGTGTCCAAGTGCAGATTAGCATTACAGTAACTTTACATAAATACTGGTTACGACATCCGTGAAATGCAGTGAATGCATAAACAGCGTCATGAAAAAACGAATGAGCCCTGAGTAACCAAAGCCGTTTTAGGGTGGATACCGATGGTACCTCCATTTACTGCCCACATAAAAAACGAATTTCTAATAGCAATATTCATTTGACGAGGAGCCAACCAAAGATGACAGCTCCTCTGCGGATAGTCGGATAGAAATGTCAGCGTATTTGACACCGAATTACTTTTCTATTAAGCACGCGAAAAAAAATTATGAATGGTGAAGTATCACAAATAGTACATAAAATACAAAAGGAGTTCGTTATTGTGTGAATTCAACAGATTTGTGCTTGGACAAGGTTGTCCACAAAGTTTCTACAGCAAATAAGGGGATGTTGAAGGGTTGCGATCAGATTAAGATTATGATGGTATCGAAAAATCATCCCTAAAATAAGTCATTGCAGAGACATACGAAGAATATCACCCCGCAAAAGTGGATTCTTAGCGTCGGACCACAGAAAAGAAACCTCATTGATTAAGTTCACCTTATGACAAGTACTACTATCAAAGGAAATTGAACAGACAAGCCCTGGATTAGACAGAACAATGACCAATTTGAACAATACATGCTTGCGCCAAGTAAAGTGTTGCTCTAACAAACAACATGAATTGACTTAAATTGTATGTAGTCTAATAACCGAAACAATATTTAGCAAAATAAGTTCACAGCGACTGACTCACGCTTGCATGCCAATTAAAGTGGAAAACGAAGAAAAGTAGGGCGGTCATACTGCAGAGAAATGCGGACACCAAACCACCTGAATATAACCAATAATCTAAGGTATTTTCCTTACGTTACATGGTTCCTTAAGTTACAAAGTAAGTAACTGGGAAGGGCGCTATGCTCAATTAAGAATATGAAGTGCAACGAAAAATTCCGACTCAAATACAAAACATACCACTTTCCTTCTTTTTACATGTGCTAACGACTCTCCCGTTTGGCTGGTACTTGAGTTGTATTTTTCGATTGATGCCACTGAAGGAACCGTACATCTCGAGAACGTACCTTAAAAATGTAAGAAACCATTACCTTGAGCAATGACATTGAGATGCCCAAACAAATTAAGAGCAGCTAACACTTAGCAAACAGTTGATATTTATTATGCCAAGTTGACAATATGCGAGAAAAGTGATTTTAAAGTACAAAGTGCCTACCGATGGGGAAGTATTGCACATGATGTCAAATAAATATACAAAACTGTTTTACCGGTAAACGTTTCCGATTGGAGAGTAAAGCATTTTGCCTTAATAAAATCTATTGTAGCAAAAATTACAACAGCGTGGATTTTGCCGCAACGTGTACGAATTAGAAAATATTACTATTTACCATGACAACACATTTAAAGAATTATAAAAACGAAATAATAAAAAAATGAACAGATTTTCAAGCCTGAACTACATTGCAAAAGGACTACAGAATTGTTGAAACTAAGAACGAAAACCAAAAAAGCAGTGCTCAATTATTAGACATGACGCACACAATGAGGGGTGATATTTAAAACAGACAGATATACTCAAGTCCCGTTCAAACCACACAAAAACATTTTGAAATAACTACATTCGAGTTGCACAGTGCACGATATCGACAATAAAGCACCACACCTGAGTTGTTCAAACTTGGCTTTTTTCTCCTCGAGCTCAGAGTTCTTCAATTTTCCGCTTTCAATGTCATCGAGGATATCACGGACGATGTCAAGGACTTCCTGCAGCTGAGTGGGTTTTTTTAGCTTTAGTTCGAGAGTTCGTTCACCAGCGTACTTCTTGAATAATTTGAAAAAGCGTTCGTCACGCACATCCATCTTCATTTTCTGTTTCGGCGTCCGATCTCCGTGTCGAAAAACAGCAATAACACATCGGAGCTCCATGATAGTGCCACAGGTCGTAGGCACTAAAGGTATGTCATCGTCAGTGCCGGGTGTAATCCAGGGCCCCATTCCTGTTGGACACAGACGAGGCGCTATCACCCGGGTAATTAGTACACCCAAAACATGGCTGCAGTCATCGTAGTACTTTCGCGAGGTCTTCACAAAGGAGAAACCGTTCACGTCACACACGTAGGACATGCCGTTGGCGCGAAGAAGGTCAAAACCGCAAATCTGCTGTTTAACCACTTTTGCTACCTTCTTGGCGATTATCTTCTCTCGTGGCGTCAGTATGACTGGGTAACGAATCTCCTTACCTTCGCTGTCTCGTTCCACTTTGCCGTCGAGAGCAGGAGACTTGCGAGCCTCAGCGTGTGCATAATCGTCAGCAACAGTGTAGACCTATAATTTAAAAAATTCCGCAATCAACAGTTTAAAACCAATGAAACTTTACCAATATTCTCAATTACATTCAGGTGTCAAATATGTTCACAGATTATTTGGGAAATGCGCAACAAACATTGTGATTATAAACCATAGTGAAAGTCGGAATGAGGATGTCTTAGGATGCAAAATAAAAATCGGATCATTCAAAAACAATTCAGTCTAAAATAGTGGTAGAAACAATGTTAAACGAGTTATTTTACTTAAAAATGTATACTACCACACCAAAAAACTACGTTTATGTATATTAAGACATCGTACTTTTACATCCGTCCCGTCGGTCGGCATAAATTCCTCATACAGGTACGATCCTTCAGTCCGAATTGTACTGATCTGGAAGTATTTGCTACTTCGATCCCCAACTTTTCGAAATAGACGCTGGCTTCCACCGCCCGCACTACTTGGAAAATAGATGTAGATGTTGTGGTCTTCCGCATTCAAGGGCTTTTCGACAAAGGGTTTGTGAAATACCTCGCCATCTATCTGTAAATGGAATAAAGTACGATTTCGGCTTGTCATTTTGAAAGTTTGGGAATACTATCTGAGACCCAGCTATCATAAACAGACGCTACACAAAACAACCAAGAGCCGCGACTTGTACATAAATAAACGACACTGAGTACGACCATCACGTTTCTCACAAACAGTCAAATAGAGATGAGTTGCCATTGAAATGACATAAAAATTCGATGGAAAATGGATGCCCATAATGGCTAAACGGCTACAAGGAAAATACATGGCCGCATAAGTTCAAACGTACTCATAAATAAACGTAAAGTGGCTTAGCTTACCTCGATAGCATCATCGTGTTCGATAACATTAACAGGATTCTTCGGATCACTCCTTTCCACACAGGCGTATCGAGGAACTGGGATGCCCTCCGACTGAAGACACTCATAAACTCTTTTTCTATCCATTAAAACGTACTGTGCTTCTAGATCATTCACTAAGTAAGGCCTTCTCAATTTTGAATATGCAATAGCCTTCTGTAGAGGAAACCCATCTGAGTAAAAGCTGATCAGAGCATCACACACAGGCCATGCTTCTATCGGTTGCTTCAAGATCATTCTCTCTTCGAAAACAATCACACGAATGTGCTGAAATTTCACTAGACGCCGAAGGATTTCCTTCATTGGCTTCGACTTGGTTTTCTTGGCCATGGCACAGACGCCAAGGCTGATAAATACATTTCCATCCTCACTAAGACTATCGTGCATTACTGGCGATAAGAACGCTTTCGCAACAATGCTACCACGGTAGACTAAGCCCACCAAACACACTGCAATCCAAAAGTGCGAAAACAGGCGAACAGATAACCACCATCTTAAATAGCACTCCGACTTTTAGAACAGCCAATAACAGAATCAAACCAATCACGACAAAGCAAAATCAGCAGAGAACCAGGTGATTTCAAAAAGCACTAGTTAAATAGATTAATAAGTGAAAATCAGTAGCTTGACTTCCAGGAAAACATAAATTCATAAAAAATTCAAAGCTATTATTTTTGTCAGAGATCTTACAATCTTAACAAAACGATTCCTTTTTAGCAATTGCCTTGGAAATCAACTTGCCAAGTTTTTTAAAGCAAACCGATATATGTATAAATTGCAAATCTGTTTTCATTTTAATGCAAAAAAGTTAAGGTTTCCAGTTTTGATAACTTAGCCTAATACATATGAAACTATGACATTTTTCATTAGGTTAATAAATATTGAAATAGCATTTATTTGGAATACAAAACTATCGTACGTAAAAGTACCAAAGGAAACAGATTTCAAAAATGTTTCTAACTCGTTTAAAATCAACAGTTTTTTGCTGGCTTAAGCAACTGCTATACCTCCAAATATTATTGGCAAATAGCGAAAATCTCCTGGCTTCAATTTCGATTTTCGTAAGTGAATTTGAAAAGAACTTGCATTTAAATTCTTATGGCTACCTAACCAAAGCATACGTATGTGGCTTATACATATTCTGCTTCATGTGAATTTGGATTTTGCAGGGTAGATAATACAATAAATTGACAGTGATGCTTCCGTTTTCAGGTCATGTATCAAATCGATGGCTTTTGTATTTGCACTTACACTTATGGATTACTATTAGCAGTGCTATAAAAAGGAACAAATTTTAACACAAAGCATTTACGATTAATTTAATTAGTAAATTCTTACTTGGACGGTCAGAACTCCATTGTCGGGAAAATACATAACATATCAGGTTTAGTATTTACGGCAAAAAAAACAATGTGCATCATAATATTTTATACTAACGTTACACCCTATGTTTACCTTTTTCAACATTTTTGTGCTTCGTAAAAATTCATTTATATTGTGTTTATTTAAAGATCTGTGTTACAATACGCCATCAGTTGAGTTTAATGACACCGGGCAAAGCCGTCTGCCTACGTCTTCCTGAATATGTAAAGAAACACTGTTGATGTTGTTGACGTTCAATGGAATGCATCTTGTTGCGTAGGTACTTCATGTCTGCATTGATAATTTGTAAAAACACTAATGTTCTTCACCTGATAACACTATGGTTACGATTGAAGAGAAAAAAAATATTCCTTAAAACGGTTCCTGATATCGGGTATTTATGGTCCATTCCTTTGTTTTCAATCACATTTACATGATAGATAAAGGCGCTCCTATACATAAATGTAAGCTCACAGAATTCTTACCTTAGCCTGTCAAGCAAAATTTTGTCGTGAACCCTGTTTATTCAACCCTCCAATCCGGTCGCTCCACCTCCTACACAGGGTTCCCTTTGTCGCAGCATGTAGCTAGCCGCTCGATTCCTCAACTCCCCCTTCATTAGCCCGAATATTTATCTTGGAGTGTCCCAAGACATGTCACGCACGCCACACGCCATGACAGTGAGCTCTGTTCATACCTGGCCTGCCCAATAACTAGCGTATGGATTATCCATCGTCTCACAAACAATATCGCTCTGTTTACGCTCTTTCTCCCCTTTTCGTCTTGTAAGCCGTGTCCCGAATAAAGTCTTCTGGTCCTATTCTCTCTCCTTCTCGAATTCTGCGTCTAGTGCCTGACTGGATCGAATGTCTAGCGCAAATCCGTCTCTAGTCTATCTCTCTTCCTAGGTCCGAGCGTAGCTCGCGCGTTACAGACATAGGTCTCGATGTTAGCGCCTGTATGACTCACACATCAGAGCTATAAATGCACACGCGCAAACACCACACACGACACAACGACATCAACGTGGTTGACCTCTGAAGTAAACGCTTGTGTTCGTCCTCTGCGGCCTTTTCCTTCACCGCGGGTATCAGGCAAGCGTAATCGGGCCAAGGTTAATTCCGTGGCCCCGGTGCGGTTCAAGACCACATGCTGGGGCCTACAACAAGTTTGTAAAATAACTAGTGAAATGCAGATTTTAAGACCCTGTTCTAAATAGCTATCAGGTGCTTAATTTTTAAGAATCTTTTTTCTAGGGAGAATGGTGTTGGGTTGATTGATGTCTAATTCCTGTCACCAAATAGCTATAGGTTTTGATAACTGCAGTAACTAATGTGACACTTCACGAACATATTTGGTCGCTTGAACATCCTGAAAATGTAAGAAGGACAGCAGTTTGTATCTGTCAACGCATTTTTACCAATATTTTGCAATCCAGAACGTTAATTGTCCTAATAAGCCCACATATGGTATCTAAACCCTTTCCTAATTGATTGTGGGGCATTTCGCAGCCCTCAAATATGAAATAAAGAAATGAGCCTTCGGAATGACTTTACATAAGATGGGTCGAATTGGTCAGGAAATCAATTTTCTTCTTTGCGTTGGTAAAACAAAGACAAGGCATCTCTGTACAAATTTTTTTCTGCTGTTATATAAGGTATACATATTTACTGGCCATGTCTTATTAACCAACTCCTTTCTCTTGCTAGTATATTATTATATTAGGATTCGAAGAGCTGGTAGATAACTTGTCATGCAACGCGGGTTAAATAGGACATTGTAGTGGACTGACAGCCACCCCGCGTGAGTGATGCGTACATGAGGGCCCGAATGGACCAATGACTCACCCATTTTGTTATTGGCCTGTCAGCATCCGCCTGTTACGCACGCGTACTCATACGCCCACAAAGCCAATTGGCTGGTGTGATACCAATAAACGGTCGTATTCTCTGTCGCCCTCTTTTCCTCCTTTGCTCGGGTAGTTACGGGCCGTTAACTAGAGGGTTGCATAGCAGTGTTAAGTTCCCAACTGCTACAACATTAGCGTATTTCTGCATTAGTTAAAAGCTTATCTTAATTCTACGTAGATTATTTGAAACTGCGCAGTGCACATTACACAAATTTCCCATCAAATCTGCGATCGCCTCTTCCTACGGCAACAGCTCCACGACGCCTCCAAATTTACTTGGTCAAAATATTTGAAGCTCTTTGCCAACTGGAAACGTTTCAACGATCTGAAAATTATTAAAGCCAGAAATCGCAAGCTTGGACTTTACAATGTTTCCACAACACCGTCAAGCAGAGCTGAACCCGCCTTGTGTATTCTCACTGTGAATTCGTGTCTTCCGCTCAGCATCTTGGCAAACCTAAACAGCCTGTTCGACCAGCAAATATCATGTGACTATCCAGAAGTTGACTACATCACAGTACATTCCAGGCAGGAGTCCCAGTTGTTTGCTACTGATTTCCCAGCCACTAGCCATTGAGTAAGGTAATTAATGAAGATTTTATTGATAAAACTGCCATCACGGATTTAACCTAACACAACAGCGTTTATGGGTTCAGAGCTGTATGGTAATGCTACACGAGAGCAGTGACGCAGAACCCCCAACCACAAGCACTAGATCCATTACGATGGCATTGTTGTACGAATCAAGTCACACTTTCCCGGTAGACTGGAAGGGATGTATGTCAAGCAGAGGCACGCATTCTGCTAACGAATTGCTAAACTATTTACCTTCTGAATAAATTCATGGTTCAAAAGAAGTAAATGCAACCAGTTAAGAATTAACTTTGAAAAAAACAAATGAACCCAGAAAATGAAAAAAAGTGTTACTGAGGCTATGATGTCGAAGGAACGAATTAACCGTGTGAAAATACTGAAAGACTGTGAAGGTTGATTATTTATAATGATTGACCTCGGGAATCATGGCAATTGATAAGAAACTGAATTGTGCATATAATGAAATCGAACAATTAAGCCAGCAAAAGCACCTACAACCTCTGTACAAACACACGAACACAAAGCAAAAAGCGCATAAATCAGAGAGAAATGCGTGTAAAATCAAAGTGATGGCGCGATGAGAACTGTAGTTTAGCGACGGCTCGAGCGATGAGATGCGGAGAATGGAACCCGTGAGGATGAAGCACCAGAATTTGACGATGTGCTGGAGTTTGGGATTAGGAGAGGAGGAACTCGAGAACGAATCGTTCCCTGGGGAGATTGGTGCTGAGGTTGATTGGGGCCTGCTTCCTCCGACGCCGCCTCATTCCTCGACGAACGCAAGACAACCGATGCCGAGGAGGAGGACGAGGCGGTCTCCTGCTGTTCGTGGTGAGCTACACCGTCTTCACCCCCAGCCTCGAGGAACATAGAGGGCGGTGGCTGCTGCGGCGAAACAAGACTCAGACCTGCTGCGGTGCCACGACACATTGCTGTGTCAATGATTTCAGCGTCCGACAGATCACGATCCGATATAGACAAGAGAAAGAGCATTTCCTCGTGGATCTTTGATTCTGGGAACTCGACCTAGCACATGGTAAAGCGTAGGATAAATATATGCAAAAGAACAATGCAGGCCAAGTGTGATTTAGCTGATCATAACATTGACCTTATGATCTTTTAGCATTTAGTTTTGCAATCAAGATTGAGCATTAGCAATCTTGTTTAGTTTCAATGAAAGCACATTCGACCACGAACTTAGGAATAATTCGCATTTTCTAAAGTGAACCAAATTGCCAGACTTTTCGTTATACCGTTATTAATTTCAGTAAAAGTATAATCTAAGTCAAAAACTGAACTAAAAAAGTAAGCAATCAAGGGGAAAATGGTATCATTAACTTACAACTTTATACCTTTAGATTCTGCTCCACACTAAAGCCACCATCAAATATTAGGCGAAGATGGTGTTAATTCTGTTTGCTTAATGTTTAACAAAATATAAAGTAATTAATGAGCATATTTTTGAGTAGTAATATCATTTGGACATGCATGCTACCTATCGACTTTCCTTGGAGTAATCACCATGTCCTCGATTTCGTCGTTTATGTTCGAATTCTCATTAGATTTGTGAAAAAGGCCAAGATAGAAAATGACCATGTGTGCAAGCAACAAACAGACCATACCTTGATGAGTCGTTTTTCAGATGAGTAGTGAATGGCGATACAATCAAGGCTCTTTAATTTGTGGCACCTCCAGTAGAAACCCCACTCACAAATTTCATTCTGTTCGCATTTGTCCCTCACGTCCTTGATAAAGACAACTCGATCTGCAAACATCAGAGCGTACTTTTCCAGGCACTCAATATTACGAAGCAAGTTGTCATGGGAGTTACTGAACAGATAAAAATTGCAGAATCAACTTAATCGCTCATTGTTTAACCATTTACTTTATGTTGATTTTTAGTAGTCACTTTCATTTTTTGACTTTTCGCAAATAGAAAAGGGCATTCGAATATTACTAGGACAGTCAACAGAGCAGTCTTAATCAGCGAAAAGAATGAATTTATCTAACAAAATGGTCACACACTCGGGGACCCAATAGTGTGACCTAGGTGAGGGCTTCTAACCAAAAATGCAGTTGTATTCTGATACGATTAGTCGTTCGGCTAAAATCTGCCCAGTAATTTGACAAGGCAAAACAAAGTGGTTCCAAGAGCAAGCCCAATTTAGTGGGAAAGGATTAGCCTATCAAAATAAGGCTTTTTAATTCACCGGCATTTACAGTAACAAACCGTAGATTATCATTTTAAAAAAGAAATAAACAATAATCAAATTTTATGGAAGCTAGGATCAAGTTTTTGGATAGCAAAATTGACACTTTATCTTATTAATTTGTTTGCTAAGCTGCGAATATATTCAAGCACTCGGAGTCGATAGCCTCGAATAATCACAATAGGATTACAAGTGAAAATATTAAATGAATGCTGCATTATGGGAAAAAATCCTGTGCATTGCACAGTTAATATCCATGGCTGAAATTATAGGTTACGTGTCCAGTGAAAGGACGGTCGGTAATGAACGCATGAGCGGGATTACTCACCCGAAATTGGCGAAACGTTTCGTATTTAGTAATAATGGAAAAAGGCTACAGGAATTATAACGGAACCCACGTCAGCACCAAATCAGCCTATTTATTTATTGCCAAGGGGCACTTTTAAGTTATTCGATCGCAAAGGCGTGGTAGTGGGATGGACTAGTTGGTGAAGGGTTTGGTGTGCTAATTATACAAGGCTTCATTCTATGTTAGTAGATGAATACAATCAGACTATATGTGAGGTAAAAGCCTGCAGCATTCCCTTCATTTCCATAAAACAGTAACGTGTTTGAAATTCTGCGGGATAAATCAAACAGGGAGACCGAGATCATTTACGCAGTTTTTCCTTTATTATTCTGATATTTAAAATCCTAGAACTAGAAAACGATACATATTTCCTTTCCCAATAAGTTCAAGATTTACTATTGAGTTTCCCAAAGAACGCACGTTTTTCAATTGTTCAGAGAGAATGCACCCTAGCTACCTTTTTAAACGATGACAAGGCCAAAATTTAAAACGCTTAAGATATCGCAGGCTGGTATACTGAGCACGCACCATGAACTTCTACCAATGTCTAATTAGAAGCCCCCAAATTGTAAGCTGAACGACAACTAGGCGTTTCAGAGAATGAACCGGTGGTGCCAGAAACACAAGGTGTTGCCGTTTAAATCAAAAGAACGAATTCATAAAATGATAACTGAAAAGGGTTCGACTTGCTTGGTATAGGAGAACACATTATTGTACCGGTTCATAGTAAGTTTAACGATTGGCTGAAAATAAAAAGAAAGAATTTAGCGCAGCATCAAAGTGGGATATCCGTACGATTGCTACTGAGGAAATACATTATTAAATCCCTTTCAACGTTCAAAAATTAGAGATAGCGTTGCTAAAAATCCCCACTTGTTGCGAACACAGTAGGTGTCTACAGAGTTATAATGTTAGTCCTACTTTATTACAATCCCAAATATATCGACAGACATCTATCTGCAATCTAGGAAACGATCAACGTCGATGGGTCGGAATTCGACAATAGGACCAAATTCATTCTTACCTAATATACATTCTAACAAAATAGACACAATATGCTCACAGATAATACACTGAGCACGTGCCCAAGATAAAAACCCTAGGTATGTAAAACATTCGGTTCAACACGCGTCTCAAAACGGCGGCTAATTTAAAGATAGTGAAATAGCGTTTTCATACAGCATAACGGTAGGAAATATAGCAAATAAGCGCATCTGAGTTAAAAATGACAGTATTTAATCCCAAGACATGCTTGACAAACCAACCCAATAAATTTTGGCCATTTCCGCAAGTGAAACAGCTACCGGCACATAAAAAAACTAAACACAGCACTAAGATAGCCTATTGTGAATTTTGCTGAAGTACAGAAATGCATAAAGATACGAAAAGATGATAAAGGTGGCGCTTGCACCAAACGACTTTATGAACAAAACAAGGAGAATGTTTAACTGTACCTTTTTGGTTGATGCAAATATGGCCTTTGTAACCTTTGGATATTTCACAATAATGATACTCGCTGCGTTTGGTTTGTCTTGAGTATCAGCGACCAGTTTTTCAAGTTTTTCCTCACACATTCGACGAAGACCCTCCAAACAATAGAAGCGAGTTTCTACCAGTAGTTCCTCCAAATCCTGGCGGTTATCGGGCAAGGGCACAGAGCCATCACGGAGATAGTTTAGTATTATATTGAAATGTTTACCACATCTATCAAGAAGAACCCAACCTAAGGGGCAAAAAATATGGTCGAAAGTCCACCTATTAATATTTAGCACAAATGCCTATCATCAGCCATCACCGAAAACATCATGCTACATTTTTATGAGAAAAAACGTTATAGAAGGGAGAGAACCCGAGATTACGACGGCCCAAGCAGTTTAGACTAACAATGTTAAATCAAGATAAACATAGTGTTACAACAATTCATGTCATCTACTTCCACAATTTCAGAATACTACTGTTTGAGTAGCAAATGACTAGGGAATAATACACTGGGGGAACGGTTAACAGGAACATGACCACACTAGTGGCAAGACAAACTTCCGCACGTATTGCTACTTCAGGCTCCACGAAGAATGTTCACTGACGTGTCTCAAAATACCACAATTAAGAAACTAAACCACAAAGGCAACTTAGACACATTTTCTGTATTTGGTATTCAAAAGTCAAGTAAGAACCAGGCCAGGTAAGCTTACCATCGTCATCAGTTTTCACATCCATGCGTCCACTAAACAGCGCCTTGAGCATATTGTCCTCACGTGTGAGGGTAGATATGGTTGTATAAAATAGAGACCCGCCAACATTGAGTTTGACATAATTACCTAACCAATCCCTACTCCCATAACAGTCGTCCGCCATCCGGACTACTACAAAGACGTATTAAGGCGCGGACATATTGGGTTACACCAGCCCCAGCCAATCCTCTGTCAATGTGGATTTGAAAGGCTTGAAATGGGGATTACGAGTAGTATATACAGAGTCTCTCAGCCGGTATCGGTGACTGGAACAGACGGCGTCTGGAGTAAGATGTCAGCTTGTGGTTGGTCAAAAGGGCCTTACATGTTGAACAAATGTCTTAAACAAGGGCCCAGGTATTCTTCACTACACAGGCTGACTACATTTGTCATTTTATGCAATTAGGTCAGTCCACAGTTAAATAATGTCTAAAGGAAATAAAAATATTAAATTGATTTTTAGGAATTTTAGCTTTGCTCAATGAACTGTTAAGCAGATCAGACTAAAAAACCCTACTAGTAGGTTTGGCTGTGTGAAGCCAACTTTTTCAAATAACACGCAAAAAATTACAAATTTTTCTTTATTTTGACCACTGAACTGGCAAACAACATGTCAAACTTACTGTTTTTTCCCAACTAGCCATTTACCTTCCCACTGGTAAACATCTGCGATCCTGAAACACAATCTCGATTTTACCCACGTAAGCGGGAAACGAGGACACCTGGCAGTACGGACATCGACTGCTTATGGGCATCCAAACCACTGTATATTGCTAAAAGATGCGACAAATGTGAATGCGACTTTAAATCGATTTAAGGAGTTGACATATCTGTTATCTCCTAATATTCTCCGAAAAACGATGTCTTAAACCATTCTGCGTATTCGCAGCTACATTTGTTCCTTTGTCACTACTCACGAGCAAAAGTAAATTACCTTCGGACCCAAACTGTTTTTATTGATTTTTTGGGAGTCTACAATTAAGATAATAGCTTTGTTAATAGTTGAATGTTTAATTTACCACGTATTTTGGCCTGCTTGTTCACCTAAATAACTTGAATCTAATACACCTTCTAGTTCATCTTACCGCCAGAAATCCGATGCTAATAACATCAGGTCTTTCCAAACCTATAAATTTTTAGGTGGATAATACTCGTTATTAAGCTTTTGTGCAAAAATGCACTTAACTGTATTAACACAGCAAACAGAAACCTGACACATGTTTACGCATAACATATTTTAAAAACCTGTCAACTTGTCAATGCCCGAGTACATTGGCTTTCCTCTAAAAGACATTACATTGCTAAACGGGAGTTTAAGCTCACGTTGTAGACTTAGGTCGCATGTCGACCTTGCAAAAAATGGTTTCCAAGACCGTCGTTGAAAGTGGCATAAAAGTTGCAAGGATCAACTTCTAAACGCAATCGCTAATTCTCATTGCTATTTTTATGCCAAACCTATATAATATATGTCTAACTTACATAATAAGTCTGTGTTCCTAAGTTAGATTTGTTAAAAGCAAATTATACGATCCTTGTGCAACCGTGTAAAAATCTTAAAAAAAGTTGTTGCAGCGCCATTCGGCTTTTTCGAAATTAGTGCGAATGTCACTTTAATTTTTGATAGTCATTTTAAATCTTCACACCTTTTTGTTAACTGTTCCAAAATAATGTTAACACACATAGTGAAGATCCATAAGAACTCTAAACACATTTTAATGCTGTATTTTAACGGCTCCTTACATTTACCTAAGCCTACAATCTGTCAAAGTGCACTTTTAGTTCAGGTCTAAGGCCTGACGGCATTTAGACCATGGAAAATCAATAAATCCGACACTAAGTTCTATCAACCAACCTTGTAGTTTTTTACTACAAACATTTTTTTAATTATATGCAGAAATCTGACCTTCACGAAATCAATCGTATGGATAATATAGAAGCCGATGTAAACTCGCTTGCTCATCGACGCCATAAACACATGCACACACATGAACTTTTATAATATACCGTGTGCGCTTTAGTTAAGCAGGGAAATGGAGAAATTTTAAATTAAGGCAGGCTGAAACCTGTTCAACGTCCCCCCATCATATCCACACGGAATTTCAATTGTTATGCAACGCCTTTTACTTCTGATTCGACACGCCACCAAGTGTTTTAAGCTCTAGATGGTCCTGTTATCATGTTAGACCGACTGGAAGGAAGCCGACATTAGACCTTTACGGATGACCTGCCATGAGTCGAAAAATTCAGTAATCAACCCAACAATGATTATGATATTAACCATCCAAGCTAGAAAAGCTTAGAACGTTCCTGCTCCAATGTTTAATCACGTAAACGTTGGTGTTTTAGGACTCTTGTATTACTCAAGAGGCTTTAATTGCCTGTTAAATTGTGTCGACTGTTGAATTCAATTGCAAGATGCCTTTCCAACGGAAGACATCTAATTAAGTAAGTGGCTACGCAGTTTGCCTTCCTTAAAGTTTTAATTAACGTTAACAAATTTAAAAGAACGCAGTTCGAATTTAATCATTTTTGAAATCTTTCTTGCTTCCTCGGAACGAACCGCATTTGAACGATTGTCAACCGTTTTTTCCATACATGGAATAGCAGAAATTTTCATGGACAACTGAACGGCGCTTTAATGGCTGACAGGGACTGAGTTTTGGATAGGGGCGCCACCTTTTGTTTTACATTTCCTGAGATAAATCATAAAGGAGGACCTACGTTGTTCCTCTGTCGGAGACTTTTTTAGTTGTACACTTAGACTACTTTAAGATTCTGCCTCTGTAGTGTGTCGGAATTTGCGGCATCAGCTGGTCAACGAAGTCAGTCATTCACGGACGACATTGAGTATACTAAAATTCACTTAATTTCTTTTGCTTTTTCCTAAACCTTTTACTATGAAAGTGTTATCTACATGGACCTACGTGTTTATTCGGCACCGTGTCATTCGTCAACCATGTCAGTGGCCCAAAAACGGGCCCCAGCGCTAGAAAACTTTCATAAAGTACTAATCTCTACAACGCGCTACGTTAAACGCGCAATTTGGTTTGATAGGTAATTAAGCAAAGCTAACAATCACTCTTTTGAGTCGTTCTAGCAGTAATTATAAAAAATTCCGGTTGATTCCATTCACCAAGGTAGGAGAAGGGTTGTGATTCGTATACAAACGTCCTTTTCAAGTGATAAGGAAGACAAATTCGAACGATTTTCTTAACGTCATTTTAGTTTTTGGTGTTTGTTCATAAAAAACATGTCAATATTTTTTTAAAGACTGGTGCATTTTGACCCTAAATGTCTGCTCTCTTAATAACTAAATACAAGGCTGAGCAACCACCATTTCAATCCGTTTTTTGTTTGGGTACTATACAGTGTCCTGCTGCAAAATCGAACCAGCTATTCATGACGCAATCGCTGACATTCCGATTTCTCTTTTAAAGAAACGATCGTGATCTCGAGCAGTATAAATGGTTTTAGGAAATTCGGTGGACTACCTTGACAAACGGTAATTGGTATTTAAGGGTCTAGACTAAATAACATATATTTTTCAATAATAAGCCTCCTCCACTGTTATTTGTAGGGAACAGTTATAGTGCTGGTGTTCTCATCGCTTAATCTGAACGCGTCCTTTGTCACCAGTATATGTATTATTCAAGTTTATGATAATAACAAAATTTATCGAAATAACTACTACTAACCAATCGCAAAACATAAACACCCATATGACATTGTTCCTCTGTGTCCTACAGATTGGTTTTTTGAACGTTTTGGACCCATGGTACAAACAGGGCGAGAGCATTACAATGCACAGATTGTTAGTGCAGATAAGAATCAGTCACAATCTGGTCGGCATTATAGGGAAAAACAGGGTCTTTATGTAGCCGTTGGTCCGTTCCTCAGCGCTGTAATGGAGAAGAAAAACTCGTGAGTGGATTCGTCTTTCAGCCTTTGACGTGTCATTCGATGCTCACATGAATTTACGAAGCCTGAAGTTACGCCCCTGATCACATGACTTCACCATCATGCCGTGCTGCTCACTCTCGACCAATGATTGAGCATCAACATGACGGCTATCTGTCATTCCGCAACACTGTCCCACCTAAAACCGAAGCTGCAGCTATCTTAACTGTGTGGTCTAAGGGTGGTTTAGAGTACATAAGGGGCACATCGTGGTCTAAATCTATAGACGGAAAATAAGGCTTGAGTTTGTTAAAGTGAACACTAAACCCTTGACCTGAATGATCACGGAGACCTCGACGTACACACGTCGCTTCATTAAGGAGTGGGTCAACCACATAGGATCCTTCCCAGGAATTTTCGAAATTTCCTGTCTTTGCCCATTATAGCCATCCACACAGGTCATCTTCCTTAACTAATATGCCATGTATCCGTTCATCGTAATAGTCCTTTTGTTGCCTGTGAGCTAGGGCTACCTGGGACCAAGCTATATCGAAAGACTGAAGCAGTTGGCTTCGTATCTGGAAGGTCCTACGCAGTCCAACCCTCAAGGTTTGGGTGCCACAACCTAGATTGGCTTCAGAAGGTCACTACTGTCGGGATTAGACTAATAATGATGTACACAACAGACTTTAATGCTAGTAGACATGCTAACAAGGCATTGTCCTACTGATTTAACTCAAATTTATCATGATGCAATCTCAGAAGCAACACCAGGGTCCTGTTTGTCAGTTGGACTTGACCATTCCTTCGGGGGTGATATGCTGAAGTACGGATTCTGTGATTACCTAACAAATCGCACAACTCTAAAAGCAACGAACTGCATAACTTCCTACAATGGCATAAATTTGGTCGGATACCCTATGATCAGCAACCAATCACTTATCACTAGGAGTCTATAAAAGTGGCACCATGAGTCCTAAGCCAACGAGTACATTTAGGAATCTTGCAGCCATGGGTCTGAGTGGTGCTTTGATTGCGTGCGGAGGAGACTTGACCTCACCACAATGGTGGCAACTCGCGCAAAAATCAGTTCTGTCGGCGCATATGGCTGGCCAC